TAGTCAGATCCCAGAAGCTAAGCAATGTGTTTCTTAACCAACAAATAGAAAATTACTTTGCAAAAAATATGCACAACAACAGCACCATTTCCTGGTGATCATCTTGTTGTAATGAACTTACACATTTAAAAAACAGAGAATCAAAGTTTTTTTTTTGTATTTTTGTATGGTTTGTGTATCATTTTGAAACTGTAAGTCATAATAATGACTTCAGTTGTGACATGAGAGCTTTTTTTATTTTCATTGCATGCCTTTTGGAGGACATATACTGTAATTCATTCTATAATTTATTTCCTTTGTTTCCTCTGGTTGTCTGTTTTGTGTTCAGTAGTTATTGAACTAGGGCTCATGGGATGCTGATGTTAACATTGGTCCGTTAGTAAACCGTCCTGTGAGATTTTCCAGAGCATTACTCAGCTTGCACACAAGAGAGAATTGAAAGTCCTAGCATTTCATTCCATGCTGAAGCTCTATGCCTCCTTACTATGTTATCTGCTGAAACAGATGAGGAGTGACTTCAAGGTTCCTTTTTTTAATCTTCCTCTGCCTCAGGGATGTATGCCAAAAATGAGGAAAAGCTAAAATTACGCTGTGTCACTGGCAAAGCTGTTGTCAGTTTCTGAGTCTGGAAATTAACATGACATCAAACTGAGACCGAGCCACTACGTATTATGGCTCTGAAATGTTGTGGTATTCTGTGTCTGGTAACTTTATTTTTTAAAACAATGTATACCCACCCAAGTTGGAATTGGGAATTGTTTTGAGGCTCTTTGGCAATGACTTGGGAGAGAATGAAACATGGACCTCTAAAACACCCACAGAGCCATTAATTGTTTGACTAGCTACAGTATGAGCTTCAGAACATCAGAGAGGACGGCAAGTTTCTTTCCTAGGTGACTTCACTGCTAGGTTGGAGGCACCTGACAAATCACAATGAACACTGTTAACGGAACAGTCAGAACAGTGCTGGCCACCCAACCCTATGCAAGCATCGCTCTACAAATTGGGAATTTCCTCTTGAGTGACATGGCTCCTGGCCTATAAAGCTCAGCTTGCACTCAAAGCAAGTGCACTCTACTGATCGAGCTACTCGTTTATTTTGTTTGAATGGAAGTTCTAACTGAAGTTTGGGACGGATGACAACAGCCTTGTCACTTTCACCACAGCTGTTCTTCACTGGGGATAAAAACACACAAGAATCAAGTGTACTGAAAGGATAATGGAATGTTTCAGTTAAAATTGAGCTTAATCCGCCTGGCAGAGGGCTAACTTCCTGTTCATAGTAGCTCATAGTCGGCTGGGATCCACATGACAAGGTGGAGATAGGGTGAAGAAGGGATGCTACAAGACATATTCAAGGGATAATGTACAGTATTTTTAATATTTTAGGTGAGGAAATGACATCAAGAGTGATTGCAAATTACTGACAATTACTGAGCCTAATTGAACTTGAATGTTGTCATCCCTCCCAATCTTTCAGTATAAAATTAAAATATAAGAACTCCTGAGGTTATTTTCGGAAAGCCATATATACCACATACTGTATATATTTCACATTTGTTTTACACATGTTTAAGATAAGATATGTTTATGCATGCACCATGCTCCAACCAAATTTCTTCCTACCTGTTATGTCATCTGTCCCATTTAACATTTTCTGTTCACTCTTCTCTCCATATTTCTTCTCCCTTTCTGTGCCCTGCCTTCAAATATTCTCCTTTACTCTGCTCATTTGTCTCGTGGTCTCTTTCCCTTCCCCCTCTCTACATGATCATCCTGCTCTCTCTTGTTCTTAAAGTTCTTAAAGAATTTCAGACCCCAGCACCCTGTCAAGCATGCTGGGAAAGAAGCTACAAAGCAGCCTCAAGTTGTAAGTAAGGTTACCGTTTAACACTGTCGGAAATTAAAGAGTCAGAATCAGTTCTAATGTGCATATTAACAAATGGCAAGGATTTGTGATTTTTGAATGTATATGTCTATAAACTGCAGCAGTAGTCATATTCTGACTAAAAGAAATAAGGGAGACCATTTTGCTTTTGGTGACATAAGACATTATCATGACAAATTTCCCTTTTTCTAATTTTTGTTAATATTCAAGACGCTTTGTTATTGCCAAATGATTACCAATGTCAAAAACTATGTAAAGAGTTGGTAAACCCACTAATAGGCATTTCTGAGCTGAGGTCACACATACAGACATTTATGCATTGTTTTTAATTTATTACATGTTTGCAGAAAAGTCCCTTTTATTTAGTCATACATACTGTCTGAGGAATGGCACACAGACACACTCATAATAATATTAATAATCACCCATAACCATAAAACACAAGTGTCTGTTTAACTTTCCCCCTGAACCACATTATTCACGCCGCCAAGACTTTGAACAAATGAGTTTTAGGAATGCCAGGATAATCTGGAAAACATTTGTTCATCAATGTTAGGAATAACTAAAGGAACATCAAAATGTTCATTATGCTTAAATTTTGGCACATCTGCGACATTGTTTTCAAATGTTTCTTTCGTTCAATGATTTTCATGCAATCCCTTTCTTGTTGCCTTTACGTTTGTTCATGACACTTTGCCATTCATCTCACTTTTTTTGTCTTTGGCCTCAAATTTCCCCACAGACTGCTGACTGTAATGATAAGTAGATGTGAATTTCTTTATGAAATCATCATTGCTTTATCGCTTGGTGCTAAAATTTTATTACACAATAGGCTATTACAGTTGCTAAAGTAATGCCTGCCACTTACAAAAGACCTTTGCTGTCTATGACAGAAATTTCTCATAGACTTTTATGCTTAGTTTATCATTTTAGCTCCTATATACGCTAATAATTTATTTGATAAATCCAGTACAATTATGGGTGTTCTATTGTTTGCTTTCTTTTGAAAACAAACCATAATCAATTTGTCATGTGTGGGGAAAAAGTTAACAGTCAGTTTCTGCTAATACTCAATAAACTGTGAATTCAGTGAGGTACTGACACAGGCTAAGAAGAACCTGCTTCCTTCAAATAATGGGACAGGAAAGACATGAACTCGTGTTTCAGAGTGTTTCGGACATTGCTGAGAATGTATACTAAGCATCAAAAGAAACTTGATTCATTGATCATTCTTGTCAGACAGTGATCCATTCAATGGATTTGCAAAAGCACAAAATCCCCTTATTAGTGAGAGAGTAGACTGGGCACTGGTGATGAAGCAATTTAACCTCTTAAAAGTTAACCTCGCTGAAAACAGAAAAAAATTGAGAAAGGAGCCAATATGTTCGATTATCAAGAGAACAATGCCTTTGTGCCATCGATATACTGAACTACACCACCTCAGGTAGACTCACCAGAGATGGAGCCAAGTCATCCTTGGTTCGTGATGAATCATGGATTTGTGTACACCACCCTGGTGGATGTTAGGAAATTGAAAGCAAACTCTCAGAACAATATGCTAACTGTTGTCTTGTCTAAGTGGCGTTGAGGTCTACTGTATGTTTCAAATATATGGGTTCCACCTGTAGTGATCTGTGGTAACCTCACTTTTTTGCCCTTTCTGTCACGTGATCACATCCTGATGTGACACAATTCTGGTGCACTTCCTTGTTCTGGTCCTATAACAACAGCTTTATTGTTTGATAAGAAAGTTACAGTTAAATTGTGGATGACCTACTCAGCAGACTTGAACCCCCACTGAACATGACATCCTATGCCTATGCCTATCCCATGCCATCAAGGGCTCAGAGACTTGTGAACGTGCTTACCCAGATCCTATGAGAGAAGTGGGGCGATCTACAACATCTACAACCTGGTAGAAAGCATGCGTCGCAGAAACACAGCTTCTATTGCTTCCAGTAGTACAGTAGCTCACTCATTACTTGTGAGTGGTTGTCACAGTAGATCACCAGTTCATGAATGTTGTTAATGATTAATTTGCTTACTTCATCTTTGTTCAATAAAATGCCAAGGCACCTGCTACAAAAAAAAACTTTCCTGATAACTTTGTGAATGTGGCTCACTTATAAGGGATACATTTAATTTCATGCTCAGTTTAGCACCACACTGACTTTTTTTGTACTTCTTATTAACAGCAATTAGTAAACTGAAGACAAATCCCCTAAATGGGCTGCAAGGCTGATAAGACTATCATGTTCTTGCTCAGTTGTGCTTGTAAATAATTGGGGTAATTAAATCTTTGAAAGATCATTAATTAATGATGTAGGTCTTGAGGGACTTTGTTATTTTAAGAAGACTACTCTGAAAATACTGTGTAATTCTTAAAATTCTGTGTAAAATTAAAATTATTTCCTTTTGACTTTAGACCAATATACTGTATGAAATTTAAAAAGGAAGGAGTTTTGTCATCAGGATATTTCCTAGCATTTGATCCAGTTTATTTAGTGTAAATATTTTTATTAAATTTCATATATATATTTAATTTTAGATTACATATTCTATGTTCTGATCAGAAATTCACAGGCAGACTAGAAAGAGAAATATTTTTAAGATTAAACTAAAGACTACATTGGCATGTGAGATGTACTGTACTAGATAATGAAAAAGATGGTTCCACGATATAAACTATTTCATTTTTTCTTTATTTTTTAAAATATACACTGTATATACTTGTATATGTCTTTTTTTTTGCCCTGCATATAGTTAATCTCTGCCTGCTTACTATGAAATTCGTTCGCATTTTGATCGCGTTTGGTTAAGTGAAATGAGCTGTTTCTGGGTATAAAAACACCTTTTCCTTTTTACTCGTGAAATTATACCTCAGCACTAATGTGTCCGTTTACAAGTTTTTTTGTCGGGTTTTTGTGAAACGAACCCATTGCGTGGAGCAAGATTTGCTCGGGTTAGAATGCGTTCGTTTTGTGTTTGCGCTTTTGGGGGGTACGCTTAGCATTTGTCAGTATTTTAACAACTAGAGTTTGTGGTCTTTATCTGCAGTAGTGTTTCCTGTTTTCTAAATTACATTTTCACTCTTCAGACCTGCTGCTTTTAAGCGCCGCCGTGAATGACGTCAAAACAGAAGTAATGCAGTTGGTAGAAATGCTAAAACAGTACTACTTGGTATGCTTGAGGACTCATTTGTGCATGAAGGACTGAAGTACCGGATTTTGAGAGGCTGGAGTTGATCCGTGCTCTTAACAAGGTTGGTATTAAAAATTGTCATTATGTTTGTACTTGTTGGTTATGCAAAGTGGAAACAGGAGTATTTAACCTGACAGCCCCTTTCTGCAGGTTGTGTATTTTCAGTGTACATGAGTAACATTTCACTCACTTCAGTGTCAAGTTGAAAGGTCAAAGTCATGCATAGTGTAGCACAATCATAGAAATAAGTGTGTCGGTGGATCGTTCTCATAAAGGTTCACCTCATATTAGTAGCTGTTTATTTAGGAGATTTGTAATATTTTACAGTTCAAGTAATACATATATTACGTTTATCTATTTTTTTTAATATTTTAATAATCATCACTTACACTGTTCCTAACTTAACAGTATATCTTATACTTGCTGAATAAATACATTAATCAAGTAAACGGTGGGTTGGTTGATTTCGTCCCGTAGCGTTAGACAATCTGCATGTTTTGAACTATAAAATAATGATTTTCACATGTTTAGGCCATTTTTAATTAAATTATGTACGGAATATCTAAATATAGGAAATATTTATAGATTTTCAGTATATGTGATGAATTGAGACCGAACGTATATTAGAACAAAAATCTGCGTAATACTATACATACAGTAAATCACACAGATTTTCTAAATTAGAAATATTAGTTCATGCAAAGTTGTAGTTGGGGGGGGAGGGAGAGAGAGAACGTACTATACCGTATCTGTAGTGTCCTTCATTTAGATAAACATTAGTAATACTGCCTTCTAGCGGCGACTTTCAGAACTAGCTAAAGATCTGCTAGTCGATTAGTTTTTTGATATTTAAAAAAATAACCTCTCAGCGCTTCAAATGTGCTTTTTTTTAACTTATTTTCAGAACCTGTCTTATTTATTGTGCAGCATCCACCAGTCATAGTGCGCCAGTACACTCACCACACATCAGCTATCAGTGGGGAGGAGAGCAGAGTAATGAAGCCAATTCATAGAGGGGGATTATTAGAAGGCCATGATTGGTGAGGGCCAATGGGAAATTTGACCAGGACACCAGGGTAACACTACTTTCTTTTCGAGAAACGTCCTGGGATTTTTAATAACCACAGAGAGTCAGGACCTTGGTTTTACATCTCATCCGAAGGACAGCGCCTGTTTACAGTATAGCGTCCCCGTTACTATACTGGGGCATTAGGACCCACATTGACCACAGGGTGAGCATTAACACCTCTTCCAGCAGCAACCTTAGTTTTTTTCCCCAGGAGGTCTCCCATCCAGGTACTGACCAGGCTCACACCTGCTTAGCTTCAGTGGGTTGCCAGTTGTAAATTGCAGGGTGACATGGCTGCTGGCCAAGATCTTTGACTCTGGGACATGCAGTTAATCCTGTTGATCTGGTAATCTGGCTTTTAAGGCCTGATTTGAACCAAATCCACTGTCATCATAGTCCTTTGGAAACGAATATGCCACACCTGCCTAACGTATTATATATTTAACATTTCTTTCTTTTTAATCATGGTCCCCAGTTCCTATCCTAGAGATCTGGCGTGTATGGATAATTTCCAGGTCTCTTTAAAACACCAGAACCTGAAGAGGTGTGAGAAGTTGTTAAATGGGTCCAATTAAACCAATAATGAGCTGATATAGGAAGTTTCAAACCCAGGTGGACTGAAATCCTGTAGACACACTGTTCTTCCAGGATAAATATTGAGGATACCTAGTTTTTAAAACACAGTATAGGCATTCAGCAATATTTGTTTCACATTTCTATGTATTGTTGATTCTGCTTCTTGTCATTGCAAAGTTTTTGAGATTTTTTTTGGTTATTCTTTTGGTTAGGAATAACCAGCCTGTGCCAAGCCACAGTCAGTTACTTAGTCTTTGTAGTAGGCAAGAAGTATTTGATTTAGTTTAAAAGAACATCAATTTGTGATGATAGAATAAGTAAGCATAAGAGCAAACAGCATGCAATCTCTGATTGTACTGTATAGCATCCAAGCAGCATGTTGGTACTCACTGAACATCAGTCAAATCTAAAACAGAATGACAGATATTCTTTTGTTATTTTAATTAGACCAAAGATGTTACTGACCGAGATAATTGAAAATGAAAACATATAAAGCAGATGAAAGTTTAAAAAGTTTTTTTTTAGAGGTTTTAAAGAACAAAAAGAACTGGCTCAATCCAGGGAAACTCAGCATTTCATTCAGTCTATGACATATTAAGAGGGTTTCTCATAGTACTAGATCCAGAAAGACATTAAATTCTTCTGAAAGAATATCTTGGGAGCAAAGATTAGTTTCTTTCCCCAGTCAATGATCTTGTCTTGCATCAGTTTACTTGCATTCCAGAAAAAAGCCTCTAAAAACTAACTCCTTAACTCACGGAGTCACTAAATCTTCTGTTCTTGCAGTAATATCTCTAGGTACAAAAGCAGCTCTTCTGCAGTTTCCCTCTTGTGGCTAAAAAAAGTAGAACAGCTCAATTTATTTACTGTACCTTTCGCAGTCAGGAAGTTAACCAAACTGTGCTCTGCAGAATGCTATAGTTCTTCTGCACAATATACTGTATTTCCACACTGTGAACTTGTAGTCAGTGATTATTACAAGTTAACAAGTTTTAACAAGTACCAAACACAGGCCCATCAAAGAAAAGTTTAAAAGAAAAGCCTCAAGATCCTAGAAACCTAGGGCTTGATCTTAAAATCTAGATCATGTAGACATGTAAAGGTAAATCCATAGGAAGTCACTAGGGTTTTGCATTTGCTTCATTAAAAAAAAAGATCCATTAAATCCATTCCATCCATTAACATCCATAAATTCTCACAACATTTATAGTGTTTTTGAGTGGTTTATATGAAAGAAACAATGCAAAGTAGACGTTAAACTAGCAAACAAAACATTTTGAGTACAAGAATGACCAGACTGAGTACCTGCATTTTAAATACCTTTAGGTTAGTATAAATAGTATAAAATAACCCTTAATAACATAAAAAAATCAAATCAAAGTTTATTTAACAAATGCACAACAATACAGCGTGCAGCAGTAGTTGCTGGCAATGAAATGTCTTTTCCGCGAGCTCGCAAAAATCACAAGAATCACAGAAATCAGAAAAATCACAAAAACACAAAAATCACAAAATTGAGGTAATGAAAATAAGGTTACATAATAATAGATAATGTAATAGAAATGGAATAAAACTCAATATGAGTAGAGCTGCTATGTGTCCATATTCTATGCAATATATTATGTCCAAGTAGTGCAGTGTGCTGAATACAATGAAAACTTTATGTCCATGTAGCCATTATGGGTGATTTGCTAAAGGAGCTGCAGGTTGGCTGTTTAGCAGTCTTGTTGCCTGGAGGTAGGAGAACCCTTAGGTTAGTTTGGTAGTGGGAAGTATGGAGTCCGTCATCTTTTTTTTTCTCTGATTTCTAAACACAGTTTCAGATTAAGCATTTTGAGGAGCCACTTTTGATCTAATAAATACTTCTATTTATTATTATTGTTGTTGTGATGGTGGTTGCATTGGCAGAATATACATTAATTAAGTAATGGCTTAGTAGGTGAAATCTATTGCCATTCCTAACTGTGGTAAATTTACTTTTATTTTCTACTGCTAACTGACTGATGACTCAGTAGTGAAAGTGAGTTTTTGAAAACCGATTGCATTGCATTAAGAATAAGGGGATGTTTCCAGAAATAATGGTAAAAGAACTGCTATGGTGATGCTTTTATTTGTATTGTACATACTGTAGCCAGTGTGTGAAGAGGGCATCATTTTAGCCACATGAGGGCGCAAACACCCTCCGTGGAAGAGACCTCTGATCTTGTTTTATTTGGGTGTACACATGGGAATTTTAGTGAGGGAAATGCCTAACATAGGAAACCTAATTAAACTCAGGTTCTCCAAGATTCAGCTGAATATTTAGGAAGTTCCTAAAGAAGTGAGCCTCATTTTGTACCTAGACTCTGGAAAAATAAGACCCCGGGGAAGAAAGAATAATACTAACTGTTCCTGTGAGAGGTTACCTAAATGAGCCTTTAACCAAGCAGGACTGGCAGGTTATTGTGTCTCTGGCCAAACAGGTCCAGCAGACTAAGAATATGACTTTTGGAACTTTGTTAGTGGCTGAAAGCGCTGCTTTTAAATGGACTGATAGCAGGCCCTGGTAGTGGCAGAGCAATTATAATATAGGAGGATCCCCTACTACTGTGAATCTCATACCGAGAGAAAAGGGACATGAGGACTGTATTGTAGACTCCTGTGCAGATCGAGAATCCTGCCGAGGGGAATTTTGACGTCGAAGGGATTCAGCTACATTGAATGAGTAAGAGAGCTTCACCATTACCTCTTTCTTCCAAAAGGGGTCTACAACAGTGATATGTAATCCCAGAGGCTGTTAGGAGATGCCCAGGAGATGAGAGACAGAGGTTTACTGTATGAGTCATACCTGCAGTGTAAAACTCACAGAGAGACAGAGGCAGATAGCTAAAGAGGACCTCTACCGAAAAGGAGTGATGGGTAATGAAGTTGAAAGTCTGGTAATGACATGGCCTGGGCTTGGTCATCTTTATTAAAATAAAATAAATAATTGCAGCAGAATGAATTCCAACATGTAAAGAAGCATTTTGTCTGATTACTGTATGTACAAGAAACTGCTACTATACTTTTATGTGTTGATGGGGGAAAAAGGAAGATGGAACGCCCCAAGAATAGGCAAGACCTTAAAGTAGTTGCAACAAAACATCTTAAGTGATTATAAAAAGTGAGATTTATCTCTGAAAGTTTAAAAGGTTGAAAGTGGGCCAGTACTTATGGCCACTTTAAATCACTAAGTTAACCCCAAATCATGTTTTGCTTCTAATGTGATCAGATTCATTCATGGAAGTACATAAAAATAAAACATAGTGTATTGTACTTTTAATTCATATTAATCTCGTGTGAAGCATAACAGTTAACAGTTCTGACTTGTGCAGTGCCCTCAAAATGCATTGGGACAACAATTAGTGCCAGGTCAGATCAGTTCAATTCAAACTTCA